GTTAAGCTCCAATATAGTGGTACCTTGGCTCACGAACTTAATCTGTTCCACAACTCTGGATGTGACCCAAATTGGTTGCGAGCCAAGTCAAATTTCCCCATAAGGTTCAATGTAAATAAGGTTAATCCATTCTGTAACCATTTGTTTTTTAATCAGAAATTTTGAAACAAGGTGACAAAGAACAACAAAGTAACAAAGTACTGTACAGTACAGTGGAGAATATTAAGTTAGGTGGGGGGGGGAGGTTATTGTTTTGAGGGAGAGTCCCCCTCCATAAGGACATTGGGGAGATCTCTTTCAGGGGTTTCCTCTCTTCTTTGTCTCTTAGCTGCAGGGTCAATTTTGGTGAAAAATCTGTCTATAGTCACGTGTTTTTTCCTGCACTGCATAACCCTCCAGAAATGAGACCACATTATTGTTCATCAGGTTCAACACTCTGTTTGGTACAGTTATGTTGGGGTGGTGCTTCTCAAAGAAATCCTGGCATGGGCGCGCTCCTGCAGGAAAGACGGGAGCAATCTTGACCATCTCCGCCCCCCCCGCAACCAGCACGGGCACAGCCCGGCACAGCCGTGATCACGCATGTGTTCCCTGCAGGAACACGACTGCGATCGTGGCCATCTCCCCACTCGGTCAGTGTCCAGGCTTCAGAGTGCAGTCTATTACAAGCTTTCCCTCCCCCTCGCACTTTTAGAGAGACTGGGGCATACACAGATGCGGTGGAAGTGCTGGTGCAGAAACATGGGAGGTGCCCTGCAATGTTTTTCAATAGATCCTTTAAACACGGCACTCTGCATTGCCCCGCTGCACAGGAGAGTGTGATGTGCGTGTGTGCAGAAACATGAAATCATCCTGTTTCGACGGTCATTAGGGGCACAGCCACAGGGTCTGTCATGACGTATCCCTGCCTGCACCATTAGCTCCAGAAACTAGTTCAGGAGAGTGGTCCTCTGGAACAGCAAGCTCAGCACTCTTTTCAAAGTGCAATTTTCAGAATTGGAGGGGGCATTATTGTTAAATAATAAAACTAAATGTTTTTCTTAAACTAATGTTTGCTTAAAGCACAGATAGGACCTTTACGTCTGAAAAGCCGCTTGGCTGCTCCTCTGGGTCTGCCTGACTCTTGTACTTAAGAATAACAAATATTTGGAATATGATGCATCTCCACCCATGTTTATGATGATAATTTCCAAACAACAAGTAAAAATGCGATGGTAATGTCAAAGTGTGATTGTTTATTGAACTTATTTTATCTATACCCATTTAATGGCATAAAAGATAACATTGTTGCTGATACAAATCTCCTTTCCATCCCATTCATTATAAGTCACTTGCAGGAAGAACAAAACAATTAAATATAGTTTTGTACTTGCATACACATCCAGATAATATATTGAAAGACAGAAACAAAAACCTGAGGTGAGCCACCAGAAACCCCCTATTGTGTAAGGAATCTTTGTATTTGTAGGTCATGCACACACAGACACACAAAGGAGTGAGGATGGCAAGCTAGAATACAGCTCCTATCATTCAGCAGCCAGCATGAGCATTGGCCATGGTGGTTGGGGATGATAGGAGTTGTGGCCCAACACATCTAGAATCCATCGGGTTGGGGAAGACTGGTATTATCATTATCATAATATCCAATCCCTGGGCAGGTAACTCAATAGCACAACTAATTAGCCTAGCAGCTGAGGAAGATTTTACATTAAATCAGGATTTTTGAAGTCACTACTCTTGAACCATTTGAAATTATCAGAAACGTTTCTTACTGCGCTATTTAGCTTCCAACTTTATGTTTTGCTCTCCACTGCCTGCCTAATTTTCTTACATTGTGCTGAGCTTGGATGACTGACCCTTGCAGGCAGTAAGTAGTGTTGCAGCCAACATCATATTTAATTGGACCCGTAGATGCTGTTCATGGCGGGATGGTATTTGTAATGTTCCAAGAAGACTCAGCCCCAGATGTTCTTCTCTTTCTTCTCTCTCTCTCTAGACCTCGCTAGCTGACACTCAGTGGAAAACACAACCTCTACAATGTCCCTTCAGAAGAAGGGAAGAATGCTGGGCCTTAAGTTGGGAAATAGGTCACGTTCCTACAGAGTCCATGTGCAGATTGCTCTGTGCGCATGCCTTGCAACAGAAGGCTATTCCAAATATGGAGGGTTCGGCTTCCCTGTACTCCTATTTTTAGCTCCATCAAATCAGAGCTAAATGAAACTTGCTGGATGTGACACCTTCCATTGTGGGTCCAGTTCTGCACAGAGACAGTTCTGCAGCTGCCACAGGGAAATCTTTTGTAGTCAAACACTGAGCTACAGGGTCAGCTTTGCTCAGGTTCTTTCTTTCTTGGCATGCACAGAATGGGATAGTGTTTACTGTACTTTAAAAAGTTGTTTGGGGAGCACATTTCTCCAACACCTGTAGCCATTCTTACAGAAGATGCAGAGGCTGAATTTCAATATTCTACACAACTATTAGAAATGCAGGGATTTTACTGAATTGGACTAGCCCACGTCTTCTAGTTGTATATTGGCACTTTCTGTGCCATCCATAACATTTCATACATGAGAATGTTGTGCTTTAAGAAGAACAGACTTTTCCACCAATCTGTTCACCTTCCTTGCTTCTGCACTTACATTCCCACAACCTCCTTTGTTTCGGTTTGCCTTACTTCAAAAACCCTTTAGAAGCTGCCACCAAGTAAGAAATTTACTCAGCATCATGTACCAAAAGATCATCTCCCCCATTTCCACACACAAACTTTAGACAATCATTCAAGTATAAACCTTATGACTTCCTTGAAACCTAGCTTGAGCTTGCTGAATACAGCTCATTAGTTATAGCATAGATTTTTTATGTTTTCTCATTTTCCATGATACTAGCATTCCTCAACCTGGGCCCTCCAGATATTTTGGAATACAGTTCCCCTCAGGTGCAGCCAGTATGGCCGATGGTCAGGAATCCTTGGAGGTGTGATCTAAAACATCTGGAGGCTACTCTAGAGCTTCAGCAGATTGTACACACTTCCCTCTCCCAAGGAGATATACAGCCTGTTGAAATGAACAGGTGATGAAAACTTTTCAGATTTAGGCCTAGCATTTGCAAATTGTATACAAATGAGTGCTCTTCCTTTGGTAATGCATATTTGGCAATTCGTAAGTGGCTATTCTAGTGGGTGCTGAGATGGCCCTGATGGAGACTGCTCAAACAGAATGGATCACAGCCTGTTTCTCCCATCTGATCATGAGCTGTGAGTGCAGAGCAAGAGGCCTCCCACTTCTCCAACCTGATGCCTTCCAACTGTTTTAGACTACACCAAGTTGGGGGAAGCTGATCTAGCAGTTTCTCCTTCGCTTTTCATTTCAGCAGGGCTTGTGGAGCACTTCCTATTGGCTTGATTCCAGGGTGGCATGTACCTAATGCAAAGCACTGGCCCAATAGATTTGCAAGTACGCTGGGAAAATAAAATAACAACCACCAGAATTATAACAACAACAAAAACAAGCACTGCCACCACCATGAGACTCAGCTGGCACTAGCAGGGGAAATAACCAGCCAAAATGTCTTCGGGTGTTCTCACAAGTCCTGCCAAGAATGGTCTTCCCATTTGTAAATTAAATGAAAAGAGATGCTGCATTGATCAGTTTGATGCTCTGCAAACCAAAGTATGCTTGCTGCCACTTTTGAAAATAACGATCAGATGGTCATTTATCCACCCTCAGCTGCAAAATTAGGTTCATTTATGTCCATGGTCAGTTTGCTCTTTGAGTTTCTTGCTCCTCCTAATGATATAGTGTCTCACATGATCCAAGCAGGGTGAAATCCAACCTGAGCAATAGAAGATACTATCACTTTCTTTGGGTGCTTTATAAATAGTCCACACTCTGATAGCAGCTGAATGCTACTACTGACCTCAGCATTCCACACTCCCCTGACTGAGGCTGCTCTTGCTACCTCCTTCCATTCATCAAAATGTATGCAAGCTTTTCCCAACCTGGTGCCCTCCAGATGTTTTGATAATTCCCGCCATCCCCCCCCCCCCCCCCCAGCTGGCTGGCTGGCTGAAAGATGCTAGAAATTGTAGTCTATCACTTCTGGAAGGCACCCTATTAGGTAAGCCTGATCTATGCCACTGCATAGGACCTAATTATAAAGCAATGTCAAAGTTAATTGTTGGGATGGGCAAGATGTCTGCACATCAGTGCTACAATAATGAAATATCTACAATTTAGAATTTAATGGGTAGGGATGAGGATGGTGGAAAATGTACATGGAAGACTAGCCTGTAGCAGTTGCAAAGAGGTGATTCTTGTAGATGCAGACCAGTACTAAGATACTGAGTGAGAATTAGTCAAAGGACAGGTCAACTTTCCCCCATCTCCAGATAAGTTGAACTGCAACTACCATAATTCCCTGCCAGCAGTGACCACAGTGTGTGAATGCCATGCTTGGGCAGATAGGGTGCCTACTTCTACTGGGCACTGGATGAATTAGAAATGGCATGCCAATTTCTCTTCAGGCCTGGGGCAGCTATTCCAGCTTCTCTCCCGTCCTCTCTCAGCAACCTTGCTTCGAGGTATCTCTGAGACCTGAACCAGCACTATAGACACGGTTCACTAAAAATGCCCAATACAGTAACATTTAACATATTGTAAAATCTATGCAATTGAGTTTTAGATTTATTCTGCTTTAGTTAATCCTGTGGGAGAACAGAGCTAGTCAGAGAACTGAGGCTCCATCCCCATCTCCACTAGAAACGACTTGCTTGCTTCTGAGAGTTCAAATTATAAAATGAGGGTTCTCTGCCAGGCACCATGCTTCCACAGTATCCTTACAGGTTCCAGAAATACACACAGACATGCCCATGCCTTCCATGTGAGAGTGGCAAAGAGGCCTTCTTCTGCATCCACCAATGGACACATTACATTGCACTTCTCTGAAGAGCATTTTCTCCTTGTGACTGGTACCATCCACGAGTTAAGAATAAAGGACTTTCCTTTTGCCAGTCTTTTAAAATTGCTTTTATTTGAAAAAGTGAATGGAAAAATATAGTGAAATGAAACCAGAGCATCCACTTTGTGGGTTGTCCAATGGGATATCAATGAATTATCAATAGGTGGAGGCAGGACAAGATTCAAGCATACATAATAAATACAGTCAAACAGATTTGGAAAAGGATTATCCCATGTGGTGGGCCTTGGACTTCTTCTGTGATAGAAGACCACACTCTTGCTAACTCAAGTCTGCCAAAAGGGCTAGAAACTTAGTAGTGTAAAATCTTGTGAGGATTCCCCTGCTCAGAGGACATGAAACCACTAACAAGAAACATCTTTCATCTTAATTATGGGCTTCACTTTGTGACTGCAATGTGAAAATGCTGTCCACAATTTTCCAGCCCTGAATTCGTGAACAATCAAACCCTCCTTCTGCCAGAATAATGCTGCGAGTGCCTCAATCATCCATTGAGCACAAAATGTTGCTTTAACATGCTGCTGGGGAGATGAGAAGCCGACAGGCAGGTATGCGGATAAAATGGGTATAGCTGATGGACTGAAACACCCCTAAACCACTTTGATTTAGGCTTCCAGTGAAAGTCAGTATGGCCGTGTGCCATGACTATTCTTGTTAAGGCAAAGTAGGGGAGTAGGGTGAACGACAGCATGTCAACTAAATTTAGATCAGTAAATAATGATGAATTAAGGCCTCAAAGGACTATTGCAACTGCTTGTTTGTGGTGCTTGCTAGTTTGGGCAAGTCATGAGCTTCTACTCCCTTATTCTTGAAAACAATATTCAAAATTATCCAGTCGATCATATCAAAATGTATGCTGTGCCCAGTAGTTTAAAGGAAAAAAAAGGAATCAGGCATAATAATGAATTCCATCTGCTTGTGCTCTCCTATTACTGGGCAAAGCAGGCATGAGGACCCTCATTTAGTCCACAGAGAGAGAGAGAGAGAGAGAGAGAGAGAGAGAGCGAGCGAGCAAGAGAGTGAGAGAGATCAAGAGAGAGAGAGAGAGCGCACATGCGCGAGCACATCTCTACCTCTATCCTAACCAGTATGAGACTTTCTCACCACAGCCAACTTTCTCCCCTTCATTACCTTGAGAATGGGGACTGTATTGGGGTTAGGGCAAGGTTAGAACTAAAGTAAAAGCTCCAATCCTGCACACAGATATAGTTTCACCATGGATTGTAGCAAAAAAGCCCCTCTTTTATTTCACGGCCTGGAATATGTTCTTGTCACTGAGAGCTCTTTTATAACTTATCCAACATGTGTCTTGACCTCATTCAATAAATTATCCATGCAGCTTAAACTAGCTTATCCTGGAACTAACCAGGAAAGGTATGCTGAATGTCTGATTCCTTAGGAAAAACATATAACAAATAGAAGTGTAAAAGAAAGGTTGGGTTCTTCACATCTCCAGGCATTATTAAAGCCAGTCTACAGCATGCTACTTATACAAGATGGATTTCTGTCACAGAGGCCTCTTTGGAAAAGTCAACACATTCTATAAACTAGATCTAAAACCAACATTCCAGGGTGGTACTGCAGATGTAGGCCCTACTGAGGATCATCTCCTTCAGCCTTGGGCCACATCTCCAATTCTAGGTGCGAGAAGGCTCCCAGAGCCAAGAGCAAGTGTCTGGTCTCAATAACAGGCTATCCTGCCTATATTTATTTTGTATAAATAATATCATCAAAAAAATCAGACATCTTGCATAATAAAGAACAAACTCAGAAGTATGTTACAGAAATGTCAGCATAAAGTAAAAAGAGACCATATCTTGATTTTTAAAAAGCGGGGGGGGGGGGGGCAATATGCTGCCTTCAGTAGTCATAATGAAAAAACACTTCTGCAGATGGAGCTTCTAGTGTTGTTGGGGATGCGAGAAACACCCGCTAAAAATTCTCTCTTCACAGTCTCACTGTCCTGTACAGAACTCTTGCATCTTATATACACCAGGCATTTGCAATAGATGAAAGCATCATCAAATGCATCTCCTTCTTGCCTTTTTATGCCTAAATAACAGCCTGGCATCTGCTCAATGTTTTCCTCAGTCTAAAATCTACACAAGCATGGTTTTCACACAGTGAAAGCTAAATCCATACCGGCAGTAAATCCTGTGAAATGCTGGGGATCATATAGCTTCAGACAGCAGGTGAAGAATAAGATCTTTGCAAAAAAAGTTAAAGAAGTCTTCCATTAGCTAGATATCTAGAGATGTTTTGGAAAATGCTTATTCTAGCCCAGCTCTCTAGCTGTTCTACTAGATCTCTAGTTGCAGTTTTTAATATACATGGGCAATAAAAACAGGACCCTACACACTTCCCACACATCTGATGAGTTCCCGCCCATACTACCATCGCAGGATTCTTCTTGCTTCAGTTCTGCTGTGCATGTAGATCTAGCCTCAGTTCTGTACTGAAAGGAACAATTCTGATCTATTATTACAGCATCTCTTGAGCCCAAACGACAATAAAACTTTTCTTTTGGCAGCCCCCCCCAAAAAAATCTTGCAAATACTAATAGAGTATCGCACAAATTCCTGAGCTAGATAATTTCAAATGCACCATGCCAGGTCAGTTTTGCAGTAAAACAAAATGGTGTGACCAACTGATAAGCAATTTAAGTACTTGTTTGAGCCTAAGATGGTTGGTTGTCTTCCCTTTTGTGAGAAAATCTCCATTAAAGGGTGATCCTATTCCGCCCAATGACAATGATGTTCTATTAATAACATCACTCTGGCATGAAGAGATAAAGAACTGCCTTTCTAAGCAAGTAATGGACAAGTTCTCTGTTGGAACAATTTGATAAAGCATTGACAAATTCAAATGGAGATGCAGTAATTTTGCACAGACTAAGGCTATTAAAACATTTAAAGGCCCTCTTCATGTTCCTTTTTTTTAGGGACACAGGAAATGCAAAGGCAGCTGAAAATCCTCCCCTCCTGAAAACAAAACAGATTTGCAAAATAAATAAACACCCACACACACTTGCAAAGATGGTAGGATTCACAGATACAGTGCCAGAATTTCTTTTAAGTCCCTGAAGATTTCAAACAAAAGCAAAAAGAAAGAAAACAAAATCAATCAAAAATATTGAGCTTCCACCAGAGTGGTAGGTTCTTCTTCCTCAGATCCTTCTCTGCTGGATACAACTAACTGTTAAAACAATCAGTGAAGATGGTAAACCTATTGTAATATGATGCTCAGCTAAGTTCTGGTGTATCAGCTGTTCTGTAGGAATGGAAAGTAAGTATCCACGTGACTTGGATAAGCTGGTGTGATATGTACATTCTACTCTTGAACTCAATGCATGTTCCTAAAGGGCAGGAAGTTACAAAAAGGAAAACAAAAGTTCACTTTCAGTGTTGGAAATTTGTCCTCATATGTTAGTACTGAACCTAGGAATGAGCTTTCCACCATCCTTATCAGGCAGAAGAAACAGCAACCCTCAAACTGAACAATCACTTTCTAGAGAATGTCATTCCAGTCTGCATCCAAAATGTTGCCTTCACCATTGCTCTGTCTGCTTAAAGAAGGTCTAATATGCCACAGATGGAACCCTCTACAGGCTTTGTTTGCCTTCCCACAATCATTTGCCAAGGCTTCCTAGAGAAGTGGTGTGCATATCTGGCCTCTCAGAAGCCATGATGCAACTACACTCTTTACTGTTGAGATGCTGGATGTGAATAAAGGTAGCTATTCAGGGGAAGGCAAGTGAGGGTTACATACTCCAAATGGACGAAGAAACTGAAATGGGACCCTCTTGATTTCCACCCTATCTCCACAAGAAAAACAGACACCTTGCAGCCCTGGCATCTGGCTGCCAGGGAATCAGCTAGGGAGCAGAACATGTTCCAGAAGGTAGGTGATAGAGTCCCAGTGCTTCCAGAGGAGGAACAGAAAAAGAACTATCAGCATGGTGCTCAGGAGACGCATGCGGGTCTTCATCAAGGGTGTGATGAAGTTGGCAATGGTGGAAACAAAGACCAGCAGCACAGCCATCAAGGCCAAGATGACATTGATGAATTTGCCCAACAAGGCTCGGGCGTTGGCATTTTCCACTCCTTCCAGTTGTACCACCTGTTGCTGCTGCTGCTGAAGCTCCAGCTTGGTAACGCGAGTCAGACAGGATTCCACTGCCTCCTGAAAGAGCAACACAAAGAGACTAATATTAGCTCAGATGAGGGATAGGGACCATGGCTCAATGTTCAGACCTGTGCATTGAATGCCAATGGTTCCAAGCTCAATCCCTAGCATCTGCAGTTAACAAGATCAGGTAGCAGGTGGTGGGAAAGACTGTTTACCTGAAAGTTGCCTAGAAAGTTGCTAGGAATCCAAGCAGTCAATGCTAGACTGACCTAGTATAAAACAGCTTCTAATGCTCCCCTAAATGGCTGTGATGCAGTTTATTCCCTAGAAGACAGCACAGTTCTGATACAAAGAGAGGGAATCTAAGCTGTGTGACATTTATGATATGTTCTATTATGGAGGGATGCAGGCGGCACAGTGGTTTAAACTGCTGTGCTACTGTGCTGGTTGATCGAAAGGTCACCGGTTCAAATTTGCACAATTGGGAACCTCTGATACTTCTTACTGGGGTCAGGAAGGTTGTCCTCTTACCTCAATTTCATTAGAACCTTCTACAACTGAAGGCAGCATAATGTGCAACTTCAAACTGAGTTGTATCACTTCCAAGATATTCTTTCACACTGGCAAGGGTGGGAGCTCAGTCTGAATGGCCTGAGAACACTAGACACTGCACCATTAGTGAAACTAAGAATGTGTGGATCTTGTTCACAACTGAAGTAGGAGCCCAAGACAACCCTCATGTAACAGCAAGAAATTTATATAATTACAAATCTGCTCAATGGAGGTCACTCAGTAGGGTGTTGGTTCTCCTGATGGTGGATACCATGCATGTAGATTGTAATGGAATGGACCAAACTGTTGTATAGTGTTCCAGCTGTATATACAGGATTCAGTCTCACTGACTACAAATTAATTACCTTAGATTTCCCATTGTCTTCCCATGGCTACTCTTCACATCAATATCCCATACTGAGAAGGAGTGGTGCTGTCATGGGGTGAAACCATGGAAGTTACCAAAACTATGTGGTTTTGTTCTACCATTGTTACATTACAGTCTTTAGCCACGGTACCCAAATACAGTCCTCACATTATGGGACAGCATGGCTGGGTTCAAATAACATGACAACCCACCCTCATGGACTGAATGTGGGTTTCTATTGAAACATAGATTATTGTGTTGCCTAAAACCAGTTTTAGCCAGTTAACCAGTTAACAAGCCATAGCTTATTAACCATGAGCCATCATGAAGACTACCCATGTTTTGTTGTTGCATTGTCTACTGTGGGTGGTTCGGCATGCTTGGCTGAATTCATACAAGATGACAACCCACATTTCAACAACATTCTTAGTCCAATGACACCCCTTGAATATATGTAATTGTGTTGACTGAATACAGCTACATGGTACAATATCCTATGTACCATATATACTGCATAAAGCAAGTGTAATGAATTTGGAATTGTTGGCCTAGCAAAATGGGCATACTTATTCCTCTCACACAGATGTCAATGTAGCTATATTACATACCTTAAAAAACCAGCCTCTGCTAATATAACGTTCTAATGTATCGAGCAGCAATGTTAAACCCTTTCTTTAGAGATGCTGCACTGAAGTTCCAGTGAATTAGTGATGAATCCAACAGGACAATTAAGAGTAAATTGGTGGCTTTCAGCCATCAAATGAGTGTCATTTATTTAAATAAGCTTTCCTTTTTTTCCAGGTACCAGATTGTATTCATCTTACTATAATGTCTTCACATTGCCAAATGGGGGCAGAAGAACACCCTGTAGGCCAGGCACACATTTGCCTATTAGTGTCATTGGAAACACTTTATGTATGAGATTGTATGTTATTTACTCTAAAAGACAGCAATGAAGAACAAATGGATCACTGCCTGAGTGCTTTTGTAGGAGAGTGAATGGAGCACCAAATTGGAGTTCTACAAACTTAAGCATATGTCCAATTTCCCATGAGGTACTGAACAACCCTTGACAGAAATACAGCAAAACCCTTAGTTGCTACAGTGGCATAATGAAATATGAAGAACCCTGTAGTGACCTCGTAAAAGCACCAAACAACACAGTGTAAATCACTGTAAGAACCATCATAGCATATCATCTGCTGGATGGACAGAAAGGTGAATCCTTCTCTGTACTGGGCTGCAAGTAATTTTGTTGGATGGTCATTTACAGAAGGGTGTGGTGGTACAGTGGGAGTATACCAAATCCTAACCTCCAACCCATATCCCTAAGTGGACAACAGGCAAGATCCATTACCACAATTGCTACTTCCTCATTAGCCAGTTGTCAATATAGAAACCAATTTGTTACCTAGATGGCATCCTTCTTGAGACTAAACATTAGCTCCTATTCAGCTGCACAGTCTGAAAGCTACTAGAGAAATACTGAGGCTGAAAGTACACCAAGAAAAGAGAAAAAAAGGTACCTGAACCAGTACAATGGCACAAAATTGAATTTATCCCTTGTGACTTAGAACAACAGATGCTTTCTTCTTTTGGAGCTTCAACTAACTGCAGAAGACTTAAGTGGACTCCTTGAGCTTGGAGTCAATTCTTCATTACCTTGGACAGGTCTCTAATCCTGAGTTCCTGATTATGTCCATATGGATAACAACATTTTCAACTTTATAAGGCTATCCATGGGGTCAATGGGCTCATAGGAAGCTGTCTTATACTGAGTCAGACCCTTGGTCCACTTTGCTCAGTGCTGCTCATATACTGACAAGCAGTGGCTAAGACTTCAGACAGAGGTTTTTTCCAGACCCTTCTGGAGATGCAAGGGATTGAATGTGGAATCTTATGCACACAAAGCACATGCTGTGCCACTGAGCCATGGACTGCCACAATATGAGGACAAAAATAATGGACTGATGACCAGTGGTCTAGAGTTCAGTCCCACTGAACGTTATCACCTTCAGATATAAGTCTCATTCCTCTCCTCTTGGGACAAGGAGCATCTTTTCAGTCCTCTAGCTCTATTAATCCCAAACACTCAGACAATCATCTGAAGGCACATTCATGGTTTTAGTATGGAATGTCTGGTTCTAGGCATGATAGGTGGATGAAAATCTGGGATTTGTATGTAGGTTGTTCTGAGCTCTCAAAGGGAATAGTAAGTATGTGTGAATGGTGAGTGGGGAATAGTGTACCTGAATGTCCCTGGCCCTCTCATAGGACTGGTAAGCCACCTTCTCCTCCATACTGGCCAACTCTTGCTTGAGATTGGTCATCTCATTCTGATGGAGCTCTGTCAGGTCATTTAGTTGCTCTTCCAGGCGCTCATATCTGTAGAGTGGGAGAGAAAGAAAGTATGATACAGGTAACAACCCTAAGCAAGAGAATAGAACCTCTGTTATCTAGGTTTGGGAAGAAGAGGTAAGCTTTGTGAGTGCCTGAAACTTTTCCTGACACAGACTAAAATCTGGGCCAAATTCCCCACTAGCCTTGCCTTACACCCCTCCCTTTCACTCCCTTCCACTTTGAGACTTACCAAACAAAAGCAGCAGAATCGTGTGGGGAGAGGGAAGGAGACCATTTCATCAAACACATGGCAGACATACATATAATGTGTATAGAAAAAACAGTTGCAGAGGCCAAATGTCTAGAGAAGACTAGATGGACAGACTGGTAAGTCTATGTAAAGCTTAAATGGGTATCAACCAACATTATTCACAACAGCAGTAACTGATGCAACAATAAACTACACCTTGGAACTTTTTCAGAAAAATATACGAGGAATTTCCTTGGATAACCATTCCAAGCATTTTTGAATAATCATTCCTAATGTTCATTAAGCTTTACTGAACATAGCAGAGCTTACTTCCAAATTAACAGGCACAGGATTGTGCTGTAAGATCTCCAGTAGCTTCCCAGTTACTAAGACAACAGGTATGTTGGGAAATCAGAAGCCTGGATGAAAGAAACAAGCTTCTCACCCAAACATGGAAGACTAATGCTCCCTGTATGCTTTGAAAGAATAGTGGCTGCTATTTTTTCCTTTAACCTTACTTATCATTAAACAAAGCTAATGACTTGGATTTGCATTGTGTTAGAAAATAAACTGGCTACTGCATAGAGATAGAAAATTAAACAAAAGGGCACCAGAGGGCATAAGCAAGCAGTCACTTAAAATAGCAACAACATCAAAAAGAGGAACTGATTAAAATAATTGCATGAGCAGTTTGGTTCTCTGCGATATAATTTTCTTTTTGAAATATCAAGTAGAATAATAAAATGCCTATAGTTAGGCCCAACGTATCAGAATATCTTTCTGCGTTTTTTCTTTTTTGCCTGCCTTTTCTCATAAGAAACTGGGCAGCTGTAAATAAGCTGCCTGTGTTAAACGCAGTGTGATACAATCAAGTCAAACAGGTGAGAGATCTAGGACATATAAAAAGAAATTCTTCTTTATACAGCATCTAGTTAGAACTATTGAATTGGCTGCCACAAGATATGCCACAAGAAAGGGCATTAGCCAATTTCTTGGAAGTAAAGGCTACCAGTGGCTACCAGCTAACTTCAGGATCAAAGGCAACACTCTTAGGGGAAACAGTGACTGAGGACTGCTGCCCTTAGGTCCTGACTGTGGGCTTCCCAGTGGGGACATCTAGCTTGCCACTATGGGAAACAGGATGCTGGATTAGGGAGGCCTCTTGTGTGATCCAGCATGGCTCTTCTTATGTTACGTCCTGAGGAATGAAAAGCAAGTAGCTCAGTAGCAAATTTTCTCAGCAGAAGCCATGGACATGGCCAGGTTCCTCATAGCAGCTCCTTTCAAACTTCCAGTACACATTAAATGAATGCAAGTGAGGGAGCAGAAACTACCTGAACAGCCCTTGCTTCTCTAAAAAGTGCATATAATACAATTGAAAAAACAACAATAAATCCATTAAGATATTACAAACCAGTAAAACAGAGTAGTGCAATTGTAAGTCAAGAAAAACCCAATGTTGCCACTGATTCCACCTCTCAGATCACACATGGGAGGGTGCCCCAGAATGTGGGTGCCACTGCTGAAAAGGCCTGCTTATGTGCCATTGCTTGCTGACATACTTTAGCCATGGGATGGCCCCTTCATGAGATCTCAAGGGTTAATTTGGTGTATACAAGGAAAGATAACTGGCTAGGTATCCTGGTTCTAAGTTCTAATCATGCATTCAAGATTAGAACACAAGGAGGTGGCCACTGTATGCAGGCAGAGCGGCTAGGCACACATGAGGCTCCCTACAGAATTCTAATGAATGTATGTAGGTTCGTGGTGGGTGGAAAGCCTGCCCATCCATAGGTACTCTTTGAACACTCTTGATGCAGCGTTATACATAAAAAATTAAGCAAGCAGCAGTTGAAAATACTTTTGCAGCAAGCCTAATCTTAGTCTGCAGGGGCACTTGCAGCAAGCCTTCATATGGCAAGAACATATGGGAAGAGGTGATCCTTTACATACTGTGGCCCAAAGCCATGGGGCTTTGTAGACACCAGCACCTTGGGGCAAAAAAGGAACTTGGAGCAAGGGAGGATATTAAAGTACTGACATTATATGGTCACAACACCCAGTTCCAGTCAGTGCTCTAATGGCCATATTTTGCACTAAGTTTCTGGATTATCTTCAAGGGCAGCCTCATATACAACAGATTGCAGAAATGAAACGAGGAGTTCCCCAGAGCATGGATCAATGAGACTAGATTTCTGTACACAGGCACCTTCTTCAGAAAAGAATTGTGCCAACATGGAGGAGGGTAGAATGTCACAGCACCAGTACTGCCCCATAATGTCTACACATCAAGTGGGGTGTATGGAAGGAGTACCTATGCACATACAATCGTATGCAAATACACAATCCATGTAATTGATTGGGTAGAGCAGAAATGGCAGGGTCAGCAGGGTCCCACACTACTGCTCCTCCATATGATGATGGTTTGTGTTGGCTTTGATTGCTGTATGATGACTATTTGACAGCGGACCGTTGCAATCCAAACTGCATATTATATGAGTGTGGGCAACTGTATCACAATGATTCTTCTTTTGCTTGAAAAGTTGTTTGGTGGGAACAGACTGAGAACAGAGAAGTAGTAAGATGCACTGCTTAATCCTTTCTCTGCTCACCATTTTCCCTCTCCAAATCCCTTCCTTACAGATCTCTCTCACACACTTTCGAAGTTATGTTTGGAAAAGGGTCATTGAGCAAGTGACATATGTTTGCTTGTAGTGTATAGCATGGCCTTGAACTCATTCACATAAAACTTGTGTGGGACGCAGTATAAGCATTGATAGCCCATTCACAAATGAAAGTCATCCTTTCATGTCTGGATCACACAAAGGTGCAGACAGGCGCATAGTTCAGTGACAGAGCACATGCTTTGCATGCAGGGTCAATCTTTGCCATCTCTAGTTTTGTTTTATTCTTAGGGATTGGAACACTGCTTCTCAGAGTTGACAGTACTGCAGTGAATGGACAAATAGTCTGAATTGTATAAGGCAGATTCTTACATTTATCAGCAATGGATAAAAGAGGTTGGCAAGCATCTGGATTAGGTTTCTCATTCAGCTGACAGGCAGTAGTGAGGAGGAGAACAAGTGATAGTAGAGGTCCATTGTATGGGACATTGGGATGAATGCGTCAGTACAAACCAGATAGTGTGGTCTGTAGCCAGTTTCAGTCTTACAGTAGCTCCTTCCAGAATGAATGGCTATTATGTAAGTCTAACATTGGATACAACCCACTGTCTGGAAAATTGCACTGATACTTGAAGAACAACTTCATAACCTACCAACTTCTTTTATTGAATAATTCACTAAACAGGCATCAAATGCCATTCATAATTCTGTTAGACTGTATCCTTATGTCATTTTTTAAAACAAGCATCCCTCGCCACATCTAGCATGGCTCAAGTAGCGTCACACTACCCAAAGATCATTTAGAGAGACAGCGCAAGAAGATCTAAATCAACAAGAAAAAATGCCTATTTTAATCACTGCTTTAAATCAAGTTTCTCATCAGTACCTGTTCATGTATCTCCTAAATAATGGTGCAAACATGGCCACTACTTTTAACAGTTAATGCTGCTAATTTTAATGCCCCTTATTGTTTTTACTCCTGCATTATTGCATTGCAGTATGTCTAGATTGTTTTGTTCAGCTTCTTGCAGCATATTTATTTTATTATTTCTATGTATACATCACCATTGAGCAAAGGAGGGGCGGAATTCAGAAATAGTCTAAATAAATGCATAAATATTATTTTAATGGTTTTATTCTCACAACCTAGCTTTGTGATTTTCTGGCACACAGTATACAATGCCTACCTTGAAATAAGTCCCACTAGGTTAAATAAGGCTTATTATATTTAGTTAATAAAGTAGATTAGATATATAGGAGAGAGTGTGTGTGTACACGCATTACAGATAGATAGATAGATAGATAGATAGATAGATAGATAGATAGATAGATAGAGATATAGGACAAGTTTGACTTCTCTTTTTCTTTCTGTTGTTGTTCCTGCTGCTATTGAGAGTATGATGATGTGACAATGATGATGATGATTAAGTTTCACATCTGTGCTGCCCAATACTTGAAGCTCTCTTGATGGTTTACCAGAATATTTGTTTAAATAATACATGTTTAGGCTCTTTTTCTATACACAAAAATTTAATGACACTTGATAGCAAACAAACCATGCATGTAAACAGCCTGCTCCTATCCATGTTTACCTGAAAATAAGTACTACACCTTATTGTTTGATACCAAAGTGCTTTTTATTTTTCTGTGATTTTAGTTGAAATTTTATGTCTGGTCTTGTATGCTACTTTTATAATTTTGCGGCATTTCATTTATTTTATTGTTGTTATATTGATATCATGCTTGTTTTCCCACAAGGAACCCAAGGCAGCTTCCATTATCCCACTCTCTATTTTATCTTCACAACAACTCTGTGAGGTAGGGTAGGTTGAGAGTTTATGACTAGAACAAGGTCATCCAGTGAGCTTCATGGCCAAGTGAAGAGTTGAAGAGTCTACCTTTCCATTGTTTCAAGATTTCCCAAATTAATTAATCTCACTCATTCAGTGAGATTTATTCACCAATAAGTGTTAATCTTTTTTATTTATAATTTTTATTTGATAGACAGCAAAAGAAGTGTTATTCAATGTCAGCTTCAGCCTTTCCTAGGCCCTCAAATAAGACAGATGTGAAGTGATGGGAAGCAAATGAAACAGGGGCATAGCTCATCTTAAGAATGCCTGTCTTTGGGAACAAAGAGTTTTGTTTCCATTCCTGCTGCCACTGATAAGTGGCTTCCGCAATATGTCAAGCTTCCGATAAAAGACTGGAAAAAATGTGAACACCAGTGAAGGACAACATGAGCATCCAATATAAACATGGAAACACTTATCTGTAATGTATCAGCACTTCACACAATCAAGCAAATGTATTGGGAAAGCATGTAGGGAGAAGCGGTTTGAGGTGTCAAGCCTGCATATGCCCACTAGACTATCTTAACAATCTCTGTGGACATAACAAGTATGCACATTTATTTATCTGATTGTACTTTTTCTTGCAAGAAAAATTGCATACAAGGTGGCATTATCATGTTATGCTCTGTATAACATCATAAACCCAGTCCATAACTGCACATATGGGTGCATAGTCACCATACAGTCTGATTGCCATTGCAGTCCCACTTTCCCAGTGTGTCTGAATCCATGAAGAATGCTGAACTCGCAGTGGTACGTCAATGACCAAGACCATCCATGGGTCTCCTACAGTGGGAGTGTTCTGGTGTGGAAAATTTCAGCACAGAGTCAGTAACCTCTCAGGGTCCTCTGGGATGAGTCCACACAGTCTGGGCTGGCACAAGGGAGGGGCTTCCCAGAGGTGCTGTGAGATGCTTCACTGAAAAATCATTCACAATTTCAATGTTCTGTTCTATGGTGGACAGGTGACCAACCTGTGAAATAGCTCTCTGAACACAGGGAAGGCAGGAAGCTGCCTTGTATCAGTCAGACTATTTATCCATTCAATCCAGTATTCTCTACTCTGACTGGTAGAGGTTTTCCAGGATCTCAGGCTGAGCTTGTCCTCATCATTGGTCCAATCTGAACCCAGATCATTCTGCATGCAAGACATGGGCAGCACCACTGGCATACAGCTGCTCCCCAGCAGTACAGCCAATCTTCATTTCTTGGGCAGAGTTTCTCAAGGATTTGGACCTGAGATCTCTCACAGCCTAATTGAGAACTGTACCTCTAGACCAGCTTTCTGTAACTTGATGATGTCCAGGTGTTTTCCATCATCACTGACCATTAGCCATGCTGGATGTGGACAACAGGAGCTGTCATCCAAAACATTTGGCAGTAGGTTGGGGAAGGCTTCCTAGACCCACAACGTAGACATGAGACAGTAGTAGGAGGCCTACAGCACTGATATGTGAGAATCACAAGCACACAGTTCCCTATGGGCTCCTTTCCACAAAACATTTTGAGAAACATAATTCTTTCCTTATTTGCTATCTTTGCTAATTTTTTTTAGCAAAGAGCACAGGCAAGATCATCATTAAGACACTGGTCCTACTCTTCCTACCAGTGGGAAGTAAGTAAAAGCTGGCATTGAGTATTTAGCCAGGAATAAAATTTCACTTGTGTCAAAGCAGAAATGGTTAATACTGCAATGTTTTGTTTTTGTTTTTTTTTTTTTTGAAAAGAATTTGCAGTGCGGAGGAAATTCCAGAATACTTTTTCAATGTCACCAACAGCTAGGCAAGATGCGTTGCTTTAAATCATCAAGAAAAAAGACCTATTCCTAATCACTTGATTTAAATCTAATTTTCCCTTTGAAATGCATACATTTCTTGTATGCATATGAACTGGTTGCTATAGCAATTAAGACTTATTGGCTTGCTGCTGAATGGAACCTAAAATTAACCTAGGAATATAATCCAGGATTTTTGGTCATACAGCCTACCTGTGCTGCAGAATTATATTTGCCTACAGACAAATTTGTTTCTAAAACAGAATAGCAAACAGGAATACTTTCTTGGAGGCCAACAATGCAATTCAATGTTTGTTAATTATATGCATGCTTACTTGGAGACAAAGCTCACTATGTTAGCTGCCACAAGCCTTGTAACAATTTATTATTTATTACAGGCATTTATATCCCATCCTATCGCCTTTTAACAATCACATGATCTGATACAGCCTAATCTGCAGACCCCCCCCCCCAACTTCATCTTGGGATTCTAAAAAGGAGATACTGTGATTTCATCTTCAAGTCAAATTTTCCCTCCCCACTACCCCTTGTTGGTGTTGTTGTTGTTGTTGTTGCTAGTCACTAAGTCGCGTCCGACCCATTGCATCCATGGACAACATTCCTTCCTGTCCTCCACCATCCCCCAGAGTCCACTTAAACTCACACCATCTGCTTCAATGAATGACTCCATCTAGCCACCTCATTCTCTGCTGTCCCCTTCTTCTTTTGCCGTCAATTATTCCCAGAATTGGGAACTTCATTATCCCTAAACCTGCTTTTTGTAACATTTTCTTGCCTGATTACGAGAGGTCTAGATCTTGAAAGCTTACACATTTTTGGTTATCTTTTGCTAGCCTAACAAAAATATTACACTAACATTAGAGAAGATAGGGTCTAGCAAGTGAAAATAAAAGTCTATGCTGTTTGGTTGTTTCCAGTATCCCAAAATCCTTTGTGGCTTCACATTACAATTCCTGGATTCAGGGCTTCAACTGTACTCTAGCTAGATATATTGCCAATACATTGAAGGGTATTATCTCTACTGCCAAAGTCTCTTCTCTTTCAAACCAACATTCACTGTCATTTTTTTCTCCTCGGAGGAACCCATGGCTTCATCTAACCCTTTACCAACATATTAATCCATTGTTTCTCACAGCATGACTCTGTGAGAGACACTACATAAGAATAGGGTAGCATTACCAGCAACACCAAGAAAGGGCAATGAGTAGAGGTGGTGTGGAAAGGTACACATTTCCTATTTTGGAGAAACAGGAACATAATCAGTAAGTTTTACCTGTAACGGTCCTCCTGCAAACACTGTGTCATGTAAGTATAGTCTCGCTGCAGCTGGGCCTTGAGGTCCTCCATGGAGTCCTCAAGGTGTGACTGGATGTCCTTAATATCTCTTAGTTCTTCTATGATGGTCTCAAAACTGTAGTGGTGACTGTCCAAGGTGTTAGACTTGGGACTGCCCAAACCAGCACCCGCGCCAGAGTTGCTACCTGCTGCTGAGCCAGAAGTGGCACTGGAGCACTCATCATCACTACCATATTTGGGGCTAGACACCAAGGTGGCACTGCCACTCAGGGTCCGTGAGGCTTCTTCAGGGTGCCCATCATCCAGTGTGTCCTTCAAGTGGGCAATATTGTCTGCACTGCCAAATTTGTTGCGGATCAAGCTTGCGAACTCACGGGGTTTTGAGACCACGGCTGTGTGTGTGGCTTGAGAAAGGCCCGACAGTCCACCCTTTACACCCTCCACCACACCACCTCCAAAGCCACTGATGCTGGAACGGACATTAGCTCCCACATCCTTGAGGCCCTGATGCATATCCCGGAAGACATCTTTGGGCTGGCGTGAGGGCCCATTTTGTTCAATCTCCTTTAGCTTTTTGTGGTAATGCTCAAGTTTCTTATGCAACTGGGCAATGGTCTGGGCTGACTTCTGATTTTTCTTCTCAAAGACCTGCTTGATACGAGAGGCTTGTTGCTTGTCGGCATTGTTAGCTAGCTTCAGGTACTCAGCCACATTGTCATCTCGTGCCTCCTGTTCAATCTTGATCTGCTCAGTGATCTTGAGGATCTTCTGGTGCAGATGATCAATGGCAGCTTTCGTCCTCTGTGGGTCTGGATTGCCATCTGGAACGTCAAGGCAGATGTTGCTGTCAGCATCACCATGGCTTGTATTGGAAGGTAAGCTGAGTTGGCTCACATCTCCTTTATCCAACTGTTATTGTGGTGGAGAGAAAAAAGAAATGGAAATACATCAGTAAAAATAAATATTCTATCCCTGGGTCAAATAATGCAATGATGGATAGGTGAGGATGGCACAAGAGGCAGAAATACTGATGAGGGGTTTTGTTGAAAGTTTGTAAAAATGCAATAAAAATAAAAATATAAAAAAGAAAGAAATGATGATGAGTTACTGAGAACAGTTAGTTAGGAAGATGGAGGAGAAATGTGAGGTTAAAGTTGACATAATTCTTCATTTTGTAAACTGATTTTCAGCTGTTTTATTGCTAAAATGTATCTACTTGTGCTTGCTACCAAACCCCAACAAAGATTCATTTTTTCAGGTTCTTTGAAGGAAGAGTGTATTATTAAACATGAAATAACTTCCAGGTCATAACCAAGAAAACTATTGGAAGGCAAAACCATATTTCATATGTTCTTTTTTCTGCTTGGAAATAATGTACCTCCTATTATAGCAGGGATAAACAACCTACCACCTTCCAAATGCTTGGCCCACAAACCCCTCTTCTATGACTAATGGCCATACAGGATGGGGCTGATGAAACTGAACTCCAAAACATCTGGAGGGCAGTGGAATACCCCATATTATAGTAATCCAACAAAGTCATCTGGCTTCAAAAACAATTGTGGAAGATTCAGGTTTAAAACTCTGGCTGCAGTGTGACCTCCTTTAGTATTAGTTGCCCACAATAATACTGGGGAATTCTTTTTGCTAAAAAGCAAGCTATAACTGTTTTATACTAAAATGCAAACTTGACTGTTGTGTTTAAATACAAACTCAGGAAGCTTTAATGGCTTTCACTGATTTCAAGGACACCACTGGAAGTCTTTATGAATTGTGCTCTTGACATATTTCAGCTCCACAAACCAACAGAGCAAAACTCAAGGCCCTTCAAGAATCAGCTTGATCATTGCGCACAGGTAAGGGAAATTAGAAAAATGGAAGTAACAGCCAAACTTTGTACCAAGACATATACAAAGTCAAACAAGGTAAAAGAATCAGAGAAAACTTCTCTGATATTCTTCAGGATTTTGTTCATAATGCTTCCTTGTGCCTTAATTTTGCTCAGCAGAAATGCAACTCTGCAGGCACTGAAATGTCAGAGACTGATGATTACATATAGGTTATAGTTATTCTTTTTTAAGTCCTGTCAACCAATGAGCTGATGCTCATACAAAGCTGCTCAGGAAACCAGGAACTCTGTTACTTTAACTGCTAGCATAAAACCCCTCGTGTACATTACTCTACTATCTAAAATTTAAAACACTAAATAATTCCCAGTCGTGGCCTTTTCTATGCAAATTCCTGTGCAAATCTAAGTGGAGTGTAAGTGGTTTGAAGCATGTAATCAGGATATGCCAAAACTTAAGTGTCTTCAGCAGATCCTGCCTACTTTGCTACCACCCTGCTCCATGAAAGATTCTATACTGCCAGACTTTTGAGAGCTAAATACCTTGCCAGTGCCATCAGTTCCAACCATCCTCAGGTTATGTGCTCATGTGGACAAAAGGAAGGTCTGAACTATGGTCAGCAGCAATACTTTGGTTCATGTGGCAGAATGTCCAGACCCTTGTCATAATCATAAGAACTGTAATTTGGTGTGTCTAAATAAATCCTACATATATTATATCCTATTGTTGGTATTCTCTCACACACACACACATTGGGGACTCAGGAGTGCACTTCCCCTCTATACATACATGATCATGTATACACAAGGGCTACATGTATGCACCTGAGTATGTGCAGGCCCTTGTACACACAATGTTTCCACAGATTTGGGTGTGCTCACATAGATTCTGTGCAAGTAGAAACCACAAAAGTGGGAAATGAGGTGAGGCCAGTGGTCATGGCTCCAACAAGGGCTATTATATTTATTGCTCATGCAGTCAAGAGACCTTCTAAATCATTCCAGAGATTCTGAATAAAATAAAGATATGTACTGAATGCTCATTGTGAAAGCAAAGACCTCATGTTTGTCATTAAAAAGAACCTTTGTAAAGGGGTTTACTTTGGTGATGTCCTTAAAAACTATTCTGCTCAGCAGCTTGAGGATCAATTCACACTATACCCAAAGAGTACTGCATACATGTGGTTACAAAGCTGTTCCCATGACTGCTACACCAATAATAGCTATCTCACTCAACTATCACATGATAACTGACAGATAATATGCCTCTGCCTTTACACATACAGCCCAATTGTAAACTGAAGCAATACAGTTTAATTCCTTGCTTAGTTCTGGTATCTTTCAGCATAGCAATAAAAGGGTTTCATTAGGTTTACGCTCTACACATGTTGCCGATGAGATCCTTATTAAAATGGCCACCAATGGAATGACAGGTTTAGCACTGAAGGGCTGTTACTGAAGTTTACAACAAAGAAGCTTGACTTTAAATATATAATTACTTAACTTCATCAATTAGTATAAATAGACAATGACAAATATGCTCCCAAAGAGTAATACATATTCTGCAGTTATAATATGTACTCTGCCATAGTACTCTGCCTAAGTACAAGAACCATAAATAGTAGGGTCCAATTACTGGATCAGAATATCAAGGAGTCCCACAGGCCTTCCAAACTACAGAAACATTGTTTGAGAGCACAGTGCAATTCCCATTTCACCAGGACAAAGGTGAACATATTAAAACTTCCAGGTCCTTTTGGAAAGAAATTGGGAGTTTCAATTTTCCGTATCAGCACTGAAATGCCATCACTGGAATAATGTCGTGTTTTCTGATTATTGCCTCTATATTGTGGCATACTTATACCTGTCCAAGGTCATGCTATCTGGACCACTAAAGAGATGGCCCACACTACCTTTGCTTCTGGGAATAGCAAGAAGCAGGGTGGATAAGAGATTGCCCTGGATCTAAGATTCAAATTAGAGGACCCATCAAAAAACAGAACTCAGGACACTGCGCAGCCTTGTTGAGTATGAGCACTAGACCAATCCCTTTCATCTCCACCAGTATGCTAATGTGGACAATAAACTGTTTGTCTAGTTTTCTTAGAAGTTCGTTTTTCTTGCATTTCTCCAATTATTCAAGCAGACTGAAACTGGAGTTAAAATCTCTCTTCAGCTTCTGTTACTTGATGAAATTTCAGCTAGGAATATGAGGACAAAGCTGCTACTCTCCAGAATCTAAGAGCTCCAAATTCTGATGAATGTATGGAGGTCATTTTATCCCCAACAACCCTTCTTTGGGAACAGCTGGCTTCTAAAGTCAAGCCACAGCAAGCTTTTACACCATACCTTACATTGGTCATCCGGTTCCAGTATTCTCTTCCTTCTCATAGTAGCTTAAGCCTCGCTGCTGAGCTAAGGAAGATCCCCGGCAAAGAAAAACCATGAGGAAATGCCACCAAAGCCATCCAGAAGCTACCGCAGTCCTGCCTGGGTTACTCTTATGTCTCCGCTTCAGACATCCTACTGATGTATTTTGCTGGGTGATATAGACAAGCAGGAGGGAAAAACACTACCCACACACAACATCATACAGAGCAGCCACAAACTTGCCTCAGCCTTATTAGATCAGCACATTTTTAAAAACAAAGAACTGCAGACTTTACAAACACTGCCTGCTGGCCTATTCTTAGCTCCTCTGCTGCTCTGGGGCTTTCCAGGACCCAGAACAAAGTCAGGAGTTTCTTCTTGCTTCTTATCAACTTGCAGGAATTAAAGCAGAACCTGCAGGAAATGGATTCCCCCCTCCTTCATATAAACTATTCCACATATGATAAAAAAATAAAAGCAACCCAGTGACAACAACCTTGACGAAGCTGAAAGAGGAAACCCAGCCAATTCTTTAGAGAAGTTGCTAAACTTCTGTTTCCATCAAGTGTATATTTACTGTAGAGACCGGGTCACTAGTTCCCCTTTTTCTGAGACAGCCTGTCGCCCATGCAGAAATGGAGAAACTACTACAGTATTAGGAAATGGCAGAGGCAGAAAGAACAGAAGCTACTACTTGAGGACATGTTCAGGAAAGCAGTCTTTGCTGCCGACAGCAGTAGGGTTCTCTATTTATTCAACAAATGTGTTCCTTAGGGTTAACTCCCAGATGTTGGATTCCAAGCCATAAATATTAAAAGACGTAATTCCATCCCAAAATGGAAACTATCTTCTGTAATGCTAGGACAATCAAATCAGGAGATCCATCATCAGATCAACCCTTCCCTCTCTACTTTATAGCATTCATGGTGATAGAAGCTTTGATTTAAATCTGAGCATGAGTACCACAAGTGGGTTATTTAATCCACTTCACCCCACAGTTGCATTCCCTGACCTAAATGCTCCTCCCCA